TCTGTTTATGAACTAAATTAATGGTTTATGATGATGGCGGTCGCAATTGTTGCGCAGTGACCAACACGGCCAAAAGAGCAGAACAGAGTCAGTTCGGCAGTCAGGCACTCACACAATCAGACAAACAGACTGTCGGACTGTCGGACAGTCAGACATTCAGACATTCAGTTTCAGGCGATTATGGCATGTGGCGACCTTAGCGCGAGTTAGATTTGTGGGCTGCCCAGCAGGGCAACAGTCACAGAAAAAAGCAACAAACGGCTTTAGGATCAGACAACCCAGGGCGCGACGATGATGATGATGATGACGATGCCGACGCCGATGCCGACGCCGAGGAAGACGCGTGCCCACGACATTGTTTGCGACTATCCTTTATAAGAGACAGCTTTATATCGACGCCGCCGCCGCATTCTCTCCTCACAAATGTTTGTTGGCAGCCACTGCTTCTGATTCTGCTTCTGTGGTGGTGGGCTATAGAAGCTTATGGCAGTCGGAGCCTTTTTATTTTATAAAGAATCACCTTAAAGTCCGCCCAAAAATTCCATTGCAAACACGGGCGAGAACTTTGCACTCTAGCTTTGAAAAAGGGACCAAATATTGATAGAAATGGTGAGCCAATTCTTTATAGTCAAATCTGTCTGTCCAAATTTTTCTGTTCCCTAATGTACCCCTACTTGTAAATGACCAAAAATTGAAAGAATTTGTTGAAATCCTAAGTAGGAATTTCAGTTGATCCCCAAAACTTTGTTGAAGAAACTCCAAATAGGTATATACTTGTAAAAAATTGTCAGTTGTAGTTTACAGACTCTTTTTGTTCTATTTGATTGGCAATGCTTGAGGAAGGAAAGATTGGAATCACTTTTTGGAATACTATTAGGTTCCTAAGTGGCCGCGTAGTGCCACAATTAAAGGTATTGGATAAGATAGATAGATAGATCGAATGAATTCAGCACCTATTTACAGAATCTATGTGTGCATGTAAAAGGGACTAGTTTATACCTTTTCTTACCTCTTCTATCCTTTCATTTGCTTTTGGTTTTTTTGGTTGTAATTTTAGGGCAAACGATTTAAAAACTATTGGCAAACAGAATGTTATATAGCTGTCAATCCTACGAGCATAGGATGGAAAAGTTGTTGACACACACCTACTATACGAGCTGAAGTAGCCCTTCTAGCTCTGTTTCCTGCAAAAATTAATATACTATTTTTTTCATGAACCATTAACCGTTGAAGATCTTGAACAATCCAGCATATCCCATACATAGCTGGATGATTTCTCTTACTCATGTTTAAGAACGAAACGTAATCGCAGCAAAGATGAGTTGCAGTTTATTTCAAATGTTTATTCCATTCTCTACTCGTAAGTTGCAAATGTGAAGCCCCATTACAATAAATAATTTTGATATCTCCATTATCAGACGTGTGTGTGACAGCATTTAATTAAAGATGGGTTTTCCATATATACCCACAATAGTTTTGCTCCATCTAATATCTTGTGAATGCCCAGTAATTGCTATTCCACTGAATATTCTCGCCTACGAGTAACAAGGTGATTTTATTGTTTCTCTGAGATCCGTGATTTCCATTAAAAGGAAATCGAACCTTTTAAATCCAAAAGAAATTAACGATTCTCCCCATTCCATAGAGAGAGGGCTAGCGCATCCAATTATTTTGCAAACTGTAAACTGGAAACACTTAAATATTTCTCAATTTATAAAGGTTCTTCTGAAAACAAATCAAATTTTGAGGAAAGAGAACTCTGTTGCTTTCGTGAGGGGGCAGTATACTTAAATATTGCGACGGATATTTGGTTATTCCTCGATTCTGTAGAATGTAGAGTGTCCAGGAGCCTGCCTTAATGGAGAATGAATTCCGCTTTCCAGTCGCTTCTGCAAAATAAGTTTTCTCATAGACGATCTCTGGACTCCATCTATTCCTTTCAATCTATTTAATTTTCCTGGAACTTAAGTCTTGCCCATATAGAGAACGATGTCTTCTTTCCGACGGCGAAGTTTTCTCATAGGGAGTTGCTTATTCCTCGATTCCATTTATTTGCATTACCAATCTGTTGCATCTGTAAGAGGCTCCAGGAACTTATATCTTGCCTATAAAAAGAATAACTTCTTTCCGCGAATTGCTGAAGTCGAATCAACAAAAATTTCTTCCGTCCAAACCTAAATTAATTTGTAGATGGATTCCCCTTCCCCACAACTGTTGTAAATAAAAAAAAACGCTCCATTTTTTTTTCTTTATATATATATTATTCATCTGATCATATTTTTGTGAACTTTTTACAATTATTTTAGTTTATAATTAAAAAAAAAAGAATTAACCAGTTTGCTTAATCGTAGGAATATATTTATAATATAGTATTTATATATGCTTGTATATATATATTTTAATATATATATATATATATATATATGTACATATATATATACCGTCTTACATATGCATATGTATGTATATATATATAATAATATTATTATAAAGTGATTTTTTGTTTCTTTCTCGCTTAAAATGTATGCAAAAAAAAGTTCGCTTATTGTGTAAATTTTAGTTGGTAAATGTTTTCTTCCATATGTATGTACTTATGTGTATGTGTATATGTGTTTGTATGTATGTATAACATAATATCGTCTGTGTCCCCATATGTATGTGTCCGTCTGCCTGTCTGTGTGTTTGTCCTTGTCGGGGGGGGGGGGGGGGGGGGGGGGGGGGGATGGCGAGTGTGTTTTTTAAACAAAGTGATGTGATGAGCTTAAATTTACAATTAAATTGAAATTAGAACTAAACAAAAAAAATCAATCGTTTACAATAATTATTATTTTCTTCGTATGCTGCACATTTAACTAATTAATGTGTCTGTGCCTGTGTGTGTGTGTGTGTGTGTGTAGAGCTTTAACATTAGAATATGTGGAATGCATATATTTATAAATATTTTAGCATATTTTTTTTTATATAAACATGATAAACATATATACACACACACATATATATATATGTGTATATATATTTAAATTTCGTCTTGCTCTTTTTCGTTTTGACTATTCTTTTGTTAGATTTTATTAAATTTTTAATCATTTGTACATATTTAAAATTATTTTTATATAAATATTTCTTGTTCTTGTTAGTTTTTTTTTTGCATTTTCGTTTGGATTGTGGCATGTGTTTAATTTTTAAATAAAATTCACTATATTTATATATATATATATATATAGATTTTTAAATATTTTCCTTTTATATATATATAAATATATATACTTAGGTGGTAAATGTTTTTGTTTTTATGTTCAACGCGTTTGCAAAAAGGATTTTAATGCAATTTTTGCCTTGCTTTTGAAGTCTGAAATGTGAATTCGTTTTTTTTTATGTGTTGTATTAAATATTTTTGTTTTTGTTATGCATAGTTTCTATATATCTATCTGTATATACTTATATTTGTTATATAAAGACGACAAAATGATGCTTTGAACTTTAAACTGTATGTCACAATGAAATCGCATCTTTCGTTTGCCTTTCATCAAACTATTTTGTATACATATACTCGTATATATATTTAATAATATTTAATTTAATTAGCATTCTATGTTGATTTAAATTGTATCTCATCGTTTTTATTAGTTTATGATATGAAGTGCTAGAATTATGGGGCAGGCAGTGTCTAGAGGCAGAATGCAGCATATAGTGTGTTCTTGTATTTGGAAACAACAAAAAAGAGAATAGGAAACTGCAAAAGAATGGAAACTTCTAGGGATTGCAAATAACACTGCATTCGGCGCCCGAAACACCCAACCCATCCATTACTAATGCCCAGCACTTTCCACCCAAAACCCCCGAAAGACCGCCCCTGAACGCGCTGCAAGCATCAACCTTAACCCAATGCCATGGAATGGCCTACATATTGCATTTAAAAATTTGATGACTTACAAATTAATTTGCAATTATTACATAGCTTTATGTTTTTTGTTTTTCTTTATATAACAAACGCCTGAGCGCGCTTAAATGTGTTTCGTTTATTTTGTTCTTGTTTTTTTTTTGTTTTTTGTTTTTATCACTCATTTTCTTCGTTGATCCTGGCGGCTTAATTTAAATTTATGTATACATATCTGTAAACGCTTTCCTCTTGCTTTTTGTTTTCATCCTCACGCACTAATTGCTATCAATATTATACACACATATAGTACATACATATATTTCTTCCCTTTCGCTTCCTCTTTTCTTTTTTGTTTTTAATCTCATCTCATTCTCGTGCAGCAATCATATAGTATTTGCTAAGGTTTCGATAAAACTAACAAAAAAATAATAATTAATTATTTACTAGCAAAAAAAAAGTTTAAAAAATGATTTCATTTGTATTGGGAGAGTATAGGTAAGTGAGAGAACTGCAGCGCCCGGTTTATAAATATAGCGCAAGATCTGTTCCAAGCCAGTGAGAAAGAAACTGCAATATTTGCAATGCAGAAGATGTTCAGAATATACGATAGTAACTCGACTTCTGCGCTACAGAATTTCACGAAACTTCTTGAAAACAAAGCCTTAGATAGAAGCTTTGAAATGCAATTGAATTGATGATAAGCAAAATTCCTGTTTCGTCTATAGAGGATCATATATATACAAGTATGTGTATGTTATATATATGTATATTTTGGATTTGTTTGTCCCCTATACATTGGTACAGACCTTGCACTCCTGTGGATATGTATGATGATCAGCAACGGTATTTTGTAGCCCTAGCCATAGTGACCGTGCAGCGAGTTGTGCTCCTGCTGTTCGTGGTGTTCGTGCTGGTCGTGCTGGTCGTGTTCCTGCTGCTGCAGCTGCTCCGAGGGCAGATAGGAGGCGGCATAATTATGTACAGGCGCTGGCGACTCTGCACCCCCACCATAGTCCAAATATCCAGCATTGCCGCCCTGATTGCTCCCACCGCCGGCGCTGCTGCTGACGCTGGCGCTGCTGCCGCTGCCTCCGGAGCTGCTGCAGTACTGGAACAGCAGATTCTACACCATATTCACGTACTTATCCTGGGGCGACATGTAATCGAGGCTGTTCTGTGAGAAGGCCTGCGCCGACACGGTGCCGGTGAAAGACGGCGACGGCGACAAACCGAAATTGCTGGCCGTATACCCCGAATGTCCCATATTATAGTTGACCTGATTCTGATTGCTGAAGTACTCCATTTGCGAATAATAGCTGGGCGTCTGATAATTGTTTGGATACTGTTGGTACTGATTGTGCCAGAAGTTGTACGAATCATGGTTGGACATGTAGGCCGAGTGGGCGGAATGGTGGGCCGACTGTGCCGATTGTGCGGCATGCGCCGCTGCTGCTGCCGACTGCGGCGACATGGGCGTAATGGGCGGAGAGGGTGTGGTAATGCTGGAGCTTGAATCCATGGGCGTTATATTGCCGCCAGGCTGGACCAGCCGTGGATTGGACGCGGCCGCCGTCCCATAGATGCTGTGGTGATGCGCACTCGATCCAATATCACCGCCCGCATCCTTGAGGGTGTCGTAGGGTGAGCGAAGAGCGTCACCGGCTAGGCCGCCTACACCGCTGCCGCCACCACCACCGACGCCTCCGCCACCGGCGCCAGCACCACCATAGCCGCTCGAAATGTGCTCCTTCTTGCACACAATGCTAACCGGACTGACGGAGGTCGCCGGCGTCGGCAACAAGGGCGAGGAATTCTGATGCGCGGCGGTCACATTCAGGGAACCAATGGCGGCCGCAGCCACTGCTGCACTCCCCGCTGACATGTGTGAGCCACCGTGGCCACCGCCGCCCACAACCACGCTGCCACCGTTGCTGGTGGGCGTCGAGGCTCCGGCGCTGGCATTGAGGAAGGAACTGTGATGTGATTTTATTGATTGCGCCGCAGCGACCGCCGCTGCGGTGGCTGCTGCAGCCGCCGAGCTGCCTGCACCACTGCCGCCATTGTTGTTGTTATTATTGTTGTTGTTGTTGCTGGAGCTGTTCGAGCTGTTGTTGTTGTTGTTGCCCTGCTTATTGCTTTGCGCCGACTTCGAGCTAGAGCCGTTGCCATTGTTTTGACTGTTGTTGTTGTTATTGTTGTTCGATGAGCTGCTGTTGTTGTTGCGCGACGAGCTGCCCGATGAGCCGGCACAGGAATTGGAGCCGGAATTTGAATTCTTTGAGTTGCTCAAGCTGTTCGATTGTTGTTGTTGTTGCAATTGTTGGCGGCATTTGGCGCGACGATTTTTAAACCAGACCTGCAAAAGCGAGATCGAAATCATAAAATTGATTAAAAAAATGTGCACGTTACAAATAATCTATTATCTAATCTAACATTTATAATGGTTTCTAATTGGTTTTCTAATTGTTCTGAAACGCTTTCATCAGCCCACTAAACTGTGGGAGTTGGGAGTTGCTTAATGGTGGTCTTGTGGTTGAGAAGATTTCAATTTCATTTTGTTTATTTGACAATACAGTATTACAAAAGAAGAAGAAAAAGAGAGTGTTACAATTCCAAATCAACTGCTTTCAATTGTAGAGTAGCTAGTGGATCTCCATAAAGAAAACATTTTAATATGTTTTTCATTTATTTTATAGATCTGCAACATATCTTGGATCATCTCTGATGTCTTAACACATGCCTAGTCTTATGAGCAACTACCTACTAGCTTTTGGAAGGTATACCCAGGCAGAGTTTCGCAGTCTTGAAACTGATCTCGCAAGAAAGCATTACTTGGAACAGTAGTAAGTTACTTTATACAAGTCATAAAAAGAGTGCGAGTGTTTGCGTGTATGTATGTGTGTGTGTTTGTTTGTTTGTTTAGTCAAGTATGCGGAAATGTTGGCCACGGCTGACGACGGCTGCTCGCACGCTCGCATTTTCCCACATCAATTAATTTTTGCGGGCGCGCTCAAGTGGTCCAAGCTCTCCAGCAGCTAGTGCTGCCCGGGGGCTATTGCTCCAGCCCGAGCCAGCCAGCCCGAGCCAGCCAGCCAGCCAGCTCAGTGTTGTTGTTGACACAGGCAACGTGTCGAGTGTGTCGAATGTGTCGAATGTGTCGACTGTGTCCTGCCGCTGCTCCTGCCAGCAATGAATAAATTATGCCGGCAAACGGCGACAAGTGCAAAAAGTCACGCGCTTGTTGCCCATGGCCAAAAAATAAAGTTACATCAACACAAGCAGCACACCATCCCACCCACTGCCCTGCCATTACCCTGCAGCTCCCCTCAATGGTCCTTGTGCGTCCTCGTCGCATCACGCACACGCACACGCCTGCAAATTGACTCGATTATATTGTCAGGGCCCCTTGCAACCGCATCGGAAGACAACAATAAACAGCCCATAAAGCGGCACATTCGAGCGCAAGGAATTCACTTAGCCTTGTTTGTTATGCTTAAGGGGTATTGTGGGAGTAGTGGCTGGGGTACGGAGTTGGATGGTGGGATGGGATCGGATGGGATGGGATGGTGGCGAGCTGCCAAACAATCCGCTAAGTGCTGAGTCTCCAACGAACCGTCGAACCGTCCTCGTCCTCGTCGTCTGTCCTCATTCTGCATTTTCCCAAAATGTTATTTCAGTGATTTCTACTGTGGCAGTTGGGTTGGTTGAGATGAGGGGGGGTGGTGAGGGGGGAAGCGAGTCAGACGAGTGTGATTCGTATTCGGTAGATTCTCGTTCTCGGGTGGTGTTGCTTGCTAATGGCTTGTGCTTTGGTAAACACAGCGAAATATTTATTACCAACGACCGACCCTTCTGCGAAGCTAACACTTGCCACACTCCTCCTCCTCCTCCTCCTCCTTCCCTTCCCTCGTACTCCTCCCCATTCTACTCCTCGACTTTGTCCTGAAAGCCACTCGAGCGTTTCATTGCGCAACTGCCGAGTCCGCTGCCAGATTTCTTGCACACACTCACAAAAAAAAGAGCATTAAACAAGGCGTATCAAATTTCATTATTTGTTGCCGCCGCACCACCGAGCCCGGCACGCCCCTCACGCCCCTCACCACCCTCCTCACCACTCATCGCTTACCCAACACTCAACGCCCACAGGCATGCCTTCGGCTTCGGCTTTGCCACTGCCACTGCGACTGCCTCATGTTGCCGCCTTGTTGCAATGAATGTAAAACTTTTTGATATAAAACCGCCCAAGCACAAGCTAAGGACGACAAGGACGAGTGCCGGAAAGAGCATGCCGAGCAGGAATCACTCGAGCGTCGTTCGTTCGTTCGCTCGCCTGCTCGCCTGCTTGCTTGCTTTTTCATTTTCCTCTTTTTTTTTGGTGTGGGAAGGGGGGGAGGGGGGACAGCGTCAGAATTAAATTTCAATTTCAATTCAATTTTGCATTTTGAAAATCTGTTTTGTGATTTGACTTTGACAAGCAAAGTCCCGCATCCTCCTCTGGCCCCTCACATCCTCCTTACTTATACATAAATATATATACACACGTATATATGTATATGATTCGTTCATTTGCTTTGAAATCGTTTAATGAAGTGCACAATTCAATAATGTAAACTTCCTGCTCGTCTACTTCTGCAACTGTTCAGGTGGCAGCCTGGGAATTTTTGCAAATTTTAGCAGAAAATCCAAAACCTAAACAACAACAACATGGCCTTTGATATAGCTTTTGATATTTTCAAACAAATGTCGCTCTAATGAACTGCCTGCCTGCCTGCCTGCCTGCCTGAGTCGTCTTCAGTTCATTTAGCTTTCTCATAATTTGTTGAACGTCGACATCAAAGAATTTGTCAACGAATCATTTAATTTTTTCTTTGTTGTTCATTCTTTTTTTCTTCTTCTGCTTCTTCATTTTTTTATAATGGGCGCTCAATAGCTCGATTTGCATTTGATTTGTGTGTGTGTGTCTGTGTGTCTGTCTCACTTCTAATTAAGCAGATTTCTCCAGCCATAAGTAAGCCTTTTACAAAGCACAGATTTCCACAGATTTCACATCATTCTCAGGGCACTTTGCATGCAAAACGGCAATTTTATTCGTGAGCATTGGATACATGTGTAGGACCAATCAATAGCAACTAACATGTCCTAAATACTAATACTAAAGAGCTCTAAGAGCTGCGGATTAAGTTTAAAATCTGTGTGGGAAATACAACTAATATTTCAACTGAAATACAAACTTATCTATGTATGCTGCCTCTTGAACTTGTTGACTAGCTAGTGGCTTAGTGCCAAATTTCTTGGCAACATCGATTTGCGCTCAAATTTGTTGCAAATTCTAATCTATTATCTATTTTCATATTGTTCGAAACCATAATGTTTTGTAACTAATGCTGATTTCTCTCTAAAGCGCTCATCGATTGCAATTGCCTTATCGTATGAATTGCATTTTAAATTTTAATAGCTCACCAAAGAGATTAATCAGAAATGATTCAAGCTCAAAGTTGTGTGTTGGATAAATAGAAAGTATTAGCTCGCAGGCAGGAATAACAATAATGCTATTATAGCGAAGTGAATCGGTCACATTAAAAAAATAAATTTACAAAAAATTTTAGTTTTTAGGCGATTTTTACAGTAACATACTATTTGACTAAAAATTTGTAGATATCTTGAATAAAATAGTATATTTTTATATGGGATTTAGAAAACCAATTGATTTGTTGATTTGATTTTTTTTATTATTTTATTTAATTTTTTTTATTTTTTAATTGTTTTTTATGTTTTAAATGTTTTTAAATATAATAAGAATTTAAGCTGCCTGTACTCTTAACATTGCAGTATCTTGCCTTCACATTTAAATTCATTTCGTTTTTAAGTAAAGTGAATAAATTGAATTGAATTGGAAAATAGGAATTATATAAAGCAGAATTTTTGGTTTCCTAGCTCAACTTTTGAATACCAAACTAAAAATAATACAAGTGCAACATATAATTATTTTACAGGGGTACTAAGACAGCAGACAAACATATTTGCAATGCCACATATTTCTTTTTTTTAAGTAACCGATTTTATTTAATTACCTTTCGAGTTAAAACACGCAGACAGAAAAGCTCTCTTTACTTAGTTCCACTG